TTTACCTAGCTTATTATTTTGCTAGTTTATAGTACCTAGCTTACAGGTTATTTTACTGACCTTTCCTCTCCCCAGAAAGGTCCACGTCCAAAATGAAAAAGAAAATCAGGAGGAGAATCCCAGTCCAACTCCTCTTATGTTAATTTGGTGTCAATCAGTTATTCAGAGGAGGAAGGTGTGAGTGAGTGCAAGGACTGATGTTCAGTCAGGGGAAAAAAAAGCCCTGGAACATGTTCAGCATAGCTTAGAGAACAAGCTTATGTAGCTTATATAGCAACATAGCTGGAACATGCTTATGGCAAGCTGAGGATTTACACCAAAGCTGTAACTGTACATTGTCAAAATAGAGGTGTCCTTTAGCTATAGGATAATGTCTTCAGTTATTTGAAATTAATTTGAAAATCAAAAGGGCTATTGAGTGCATGTAACTAAAGTGTCTAAATATTTATATTCCTAATAAAGGTTGTTCTGTAGTAAGATTTTATCTCTTACATGTTTAATGAAGGACATGGTAGAAGAAGCCTAAGTGTGACCATCTCAGGTAACCAGTAGAGAAACACAGATGCTTTTAGGATATGATGGAATCTCTTAGAATAGCTGCTTTGGGATAGGATGAATCACAGCCCACAAATGCCTATTTCTCTTCAGTGACTATAAAGAGAGAGGGGGAGTAAAGTGACTCAGTAAAATGTAGTTGTGTATATTTGGTCAAATATAGTTCAAGCTAAATGCATAAGGCTAAAATCCAGAGGCAGCTCAGCTTTCCATGGCACCCAGTATATGTGTCTCAAACACTCAGCAACAAAACTTTGGTTGGAGTGTACTGCAGTTCTCCTCTGGCTGATGCCTTCATCACCCTTCCTGACTAGAACCACCCTGTGAAGGAATGGTGCATGTGTACTTAGTTTTCATCCTGATGGGGAATTGGTGTCCCACTATAATAAAGTCAGGATGCAGACTGGATGTGTGTCTGAACCCATGTATTTGGATCTCACAATTTAGACATGGCTTAAATTCCTTGTGCAAGCGGCGGAAGGAGAGAGAGCATTTGGAAGTCCTCCAGGAGCCACCTTAATTTTGGTAAGATTGATTCCTAACATATAACTTGAATATTTGCTTGCTTCTATGGTGTGTTTTCATTTTATATTTCAGAATATATGATGAAAATAGAATAGTCTGGTTTCGTTTCTAAACACAATCTCCAGTTTTCCTAGATTAGGGAGATGTTGGGTTGTCTGGGTTCTAGGAAGTTAAAACAGTTGAAAAACTGGACGTAAAGTTCTTCTGATAAGCCTATTTTTAAAACCAAAATCAGACCAGCCCTTTCAGAACAACATACTTGTTTCCTGTTAGTAACTTGGAATTTTGACATTCGTCTTAATTTTTTTAATCTATAGTGATTTCTACCATCACTTCAGCTCTGATACAGAGATTGAGGTATTTTGCAAATGCTGGTATTATGCATGAGTGCCTAGTTTTAAAATCTTGGCAACTGCTTTGACTTTTCTTTATGCTGTCATTCAGACCATAGCTACCAAGGCTGAATTTTGCTCATAGTAACAGTTGTGGGAAGTTACTAAAGGAAGTGTCTATTACTGACACAGGAAATAGTTTTGCAGTTCTTTTTATCATTGCTGAACTTACCAAAATGTCACTGTTGCCATAGGTCATCTGTGCAAGGCTCAAAATCATCTATCTGTTACACTGAATGTCACTTAAATTGCTTGGTGACTTCAGTGTTAGTGTTACATATGCTCCACACTTCTTGCAGAACTCCCTTTAAATTGACAAGTTTTGTTGTTTCTGGAATTAGATCTAATCACTATGATTCAAGAGTAAAGAAGGAAAAACAACTGTGTGGGTTCTGCATTTTTCAGTTCTCCTCCTCTTTGTTACTTCCAAAATTGTCCTTTTCTCCAAAAGTTATATCAACATCATTCAGAAAATTGTGCGTAATAGTCACCTTTAGCAGCATTTCCCCCTTGATTCATTAATTACAGGAGCACGTGAAGCAGAGCAGATGGCATTTTCTGAGTTGGGAATTTACCTTTGTTTGTTATTCTTTGTTGAGTTTGACATCTGAATTTCTCAGCTTCTCTAAGATGATGTTGTTTTGCAATGAAATATATAATATGGTTGTATAAATCGGCTTGAAAATTGAAATTTTGGCCTTTTTCTTTGTAACCGATGTGGGAAATGAATGGGCGCATGGGCATATCTCCATTTGGAATCAGTCACTTTGGAACAATTAACTGCTCAATGTACAGAGCAATTATTTTTAAAAATACCTTTTTCTTTAGTCCGTGAATTCATGCCTTGTTATGGCACTACTCAAGTGCCATTTTTGAGAAAGAGCATACATTTTCTCTTGAGCTTTTTGATGAGTCCTAGCTAAAAGGTCCACAAATGGGATGTGATATTTTTTTGGCATTCCCTATTGAGTTGAGGGGCTTCTGATCCTTTAGCATAAGAGGATCTAAAACATAATAACCCATAATAACAAGGATCTGTGTGGCTGCTAGTTTTGTGGTTTTGATTCAGGAGTCCTAGGGATTGTATCTGGGAGCACCTCAACCCCGTTTGACTGCAGTTAAAGCTCTACAGTGGTTGAAGACCAGTGTATGTGCTGTGAAGCAGTGGCACTTGAAATAGGATTGCGGAGGCAGTGCTGAACCCTCACCTTTTGAGGGGTTGTGTTAGTGACTTGTCTTGGGTTTGGGGGGTTAGGGGTTGAGGTAACTTGCAAGTTTCCTCCCTCTTTAGAGGCAAACTAACAGACCACGGAAGATCTTGCCACATGTTGGGGTATGTGCATGTGGTCTGTGGAGAGGATGGATGGCTCCTGGTGGCTGGTGGTGCCTGTGCTGCTTACTCTTCCTTCTCTGGTTTGGGCATCATCTTCCTCTGTGTTGTAACCTTCTGCTTGACCAGATCCAGGATTTCCAGACTCTTGTCTCTTGCGTCTCCTCCTCCCTTTCCCTCTCATTTGCTGTCTCTCCCTCTTCTGCCCAGCTTCATGCCATGCTTTGGCCCACCGGCCTTTTCTGACACCCCCTCTGCCGTGTGCTGGTCTCATGCATGTCCCTGGGGCACCAGCCGAAGGGTCATGAGAGCAACAGGCGAGATTGTCTTCCTGCTGTCAGCTCCAATGTCTGGTCTCTGGCAGATGGGAGCAGCAGTTACAGGGGAAATCCTGCTAATCTCCTGTAACTTGAGCCCATTACATGCTCAGTCGCACTGTGGGGCTGGTGCCTTTCCAACCGCATGCGGACGGATGGCTGAAGGAGACGGACGCTCACTGCAGAACATTTTCTGAGGTTTGCACTGTAGAGGTCAGAAACAAAAACCAAAAAGATGCTGTGAGTCAGCTGAATGCTTGCAGGTTTCAAAGCTTTGTTCAAATAGGAAAATATTTTCATATGCATAGCAAAAAAGCAGCCTTGATTTTAACAAAAAAAAAAAAAATCAAACCCCAAACCCAAAAAAAGCAAGAGATCAGCTCTTTGCCAAATTTCAAGAATGCCCCAACATGGGCAGAGGAGCCAGAGTTCCTCAGTGAGTAAGTTACAAGGATAGCAGAGGAACATGGTTTTGTCTAGGCTAACTCAGAAATAGGCAAACTGTGTTTTGGCAGAAAAGTAAAAAAAATCCTGCAGCAGATGTCCAGCATGGAAAATTTTAACAAGGGTAGCTCAAGTTTGGCAAAGTCAAAAGAATGTGGAAAATCCCGACAAGATGCACCAAGCCATCTTAATAACGGATGGAGTTACCACCCTTGTCCCCAGGGTCTCCTGAACCCACTAGAATCAACTGTTTATGTGTTTGGGGTTTTTTGGGGGGGAGCAGAGGGCAGGGGCGTTGTTTGGGATTTTTTATATAGGGCAGAATAGAGCAGAATGGAGGGGGTGATTGAATTGAAAACAAGGGCTGGCTGGCAGGAGTCTTCTCAGCAGGAGCATGTTTCATCCGTGCCTGGAAGGGGAGGGTTTTCACAAATTGGGTGGGAGATGGTGGAGCCCAAAGGAGAGTTGTTGCTTACAGGATAGAGGAATAATGGATTTTTGGGAAGCTGTGTTTATAATATGCAAAATAGTCCATAGGAAACAATGGGGCCTTGGGACAGAGCTGCCAGTGAATGAGAGCTTTGTTTTCCTCTTGTCTATTCATATTTCTAAACTTTTAGTGGCATTTTAAACACGTTTTACACATTTTTTTGTGTAATGGTTTGAATTGCCTAAATTGCTGTCTAAAGTAGTGTTGCACTGAATCTTTATCCCCTTCTGGATAAAGACTGACTTTCAGCTTTAAGTTCCTTTCTGTATTTTTCTTAATTGCAGCTCTTATTCAATAATCCTTGGCTGCTTTGTTCTCGTGTTTTAAAACTTCAGTAAAATTTGTGGGAGAACTGATTGACAGCAGACCTTGTGCACGAAGTGTGTCGAGTTGCCCACAGCTTGACTTGAAAATGGCAACTGGTATCATAGTCCTTATGCCAGAACCTTGATACAAATGAACATTAGTTGCGAGCTAATTGCACGAACTGCAGTTTAGATGCTGCTGATGTGAATTGTCTGCTGCTGATATGAATTAAAGCACCATCATTTGGATGGTGTTTTCATTGAGAAGCATCCCATACCTGCAGTCCCCAACAACCGGTCTGAAATGTTCAGTAAGTTGTTACGCTTGTATTGCAGTTAATTGCAGGCGCTGCACATAAGATTATGCAGTATTAAAATGAGAATATTACTGCGTGAATTGGAGTGTGTTTTGGCTGCACATTATGGTTTGATATATTATGGTGCACATCTTTACAGCCAAAACAGCATCATTGCAGTTTTGCAGTTTCAGAAACATTGTTTGTGCATGCATTTACAATTAGCAAAAGCCTTGAAAATCCTTGTGCAAGAAAAGGTATAGCTGCTGTTGCAGTGGAGGGGAAGGGAATTGTTTGTTTTTGCTGCGTATGTTATTTCATGGAGGTATCGCTTTACCTCACCAGTAAAACTCCTTCCCTGCGCGAGGGAAATTCCTGGTTCATTGGTATGGATGCATTGTTTTTACACATTAGAAGTGCTGTGTTGCTGTGTCAATCATCCCGTTAGGATCAGTTTAAGAGCAGTAGGGCTGACGAAGCTGGGTGTGATTGGCTACCATATGCTGGGAGGGCTCTGTGAGAAGGAAGGGCTGCAGTCTTTTAGCAACAGAGTTTAGGCTGTGTCTCTGCTTCATCATCTGAGGAAAAATCCCCAGATAAGGCACAAGGCTTTCTGAGGAAAAAAAAAAAAATATTACAGGCTGCTCATCGTTCACGTGAGAATTAGTTACCATGATGCGATGGGAAAGATATGGCTGTTTGTTTATATCAGATGTTCCTGTTGACGTTGGGAATGTGTCGAATAGACAGGGCTAAACAAGGTAGGAGGATCCTTGTCTTTTATCGAATGTTTAAAGAGTTTGCTGCAGTATGCTGCATACTGTATGTGTTGCTTGGGGGAGTCGGGGAAACAGTGCTACTCTGGTGAATAGATTCTGTTTGGGTGCAATAGGTGGACTTTATGGTAACTTGTTTTCGAAGGGTATTAATTTCCAGTGTAAATAGCTCTCTTCAGAAATAGAACATGAGTATATGCATATTAACACAAGTAAAAAAAGAAATAGGTCAGTATGTTTCAGAAATGCTGCTACCCTAATTGGATTTTTAGCTGGGTTGTTTTCTGGAAGTGCTGCCTAGCTTTAAGAAGGAGAAGGAGTCAGCCTGGAAATCTGTGAAGTTTATAGCAGCTATGTTTGAAGATTTAGCTGAATTAGACTGGCTGATCTAAATAATTCCCTATTGGAGGCTTTAACTAAAGCCAAGACTGCCTGTTTTAGACTTGAAGGAGCCATACGATGAGATTACAGTATTTTACCCTGTGGTAAAAGTATGGGCATTTTTGACTGCACTGTGATTCCTTGTGGTCTTGAAGGAAAGCTGGAAGAGTTTTTCATATTGTAGTTTAGCTGAGTGTTTCCCCTGTCCTTTCCAGGTCTTTGTCTTAGCAGCAAAACAGAACCTGTACATGAAAGGAAGGAAAACAAGGTTAATAATATGTGCTGCAATTATCTGATCTTTATACATTTTTAATGAGGGAACACACAGCTAGCAGAATAATTTAATGAGCAGGCTGGCTTTTAGAGCAATGATTTCACTGTGCTAAGGCATACCAACTTTCTTGCAGGGGAGGAGCCTCAAGGAGGAATGGTTAAGATTTATGTTAAATGCTCTTGAGAGAAGGAAGAGATGTTTAGGCAGAAGTCTGTGAAATTCTGGAAGAATAGTGTAGTTATTAGCTGTTATTATTTGTTAGATGGAAAGCAAACTTTACCATCATGTTGCAGGAGGGATCTGAGAACATTTCCTCATCCTGGGATGTGATGAAGCCTTTTCAGCTTTCTCAGACTGCCATATGCATTGATAGTGCTAGATACCTTTCAGGATTTCACCCAGTTAGAGACCTGAATTAACATGCTGACTTCAGCTGGATTATAGAAGCATCGTTTATATGTACAGTGTGTAATAGAGTTTTTAGTTTTTTCTTTTTCCTAAGAGTAAAAGTTGGTGAGACAGCTAGAAAATGTTGTCATCTTATTTCTCCTGTAATAGCCATGAACCTTGCATATAGGTGTATTTATTCAAATAGGACATTGGTAGGAAAAAGAAAAGTGTATGAACTGAGGAAGACTAAAGATCAATGTCTTAAAGAGAAATTAGGTAAAAGAATGTTTTACTGCCTAGAAAACCTTTCATTGATGTAATTTTTGGGAAAGTTTCAAGACTTCTTTTATCCTAGGGATGAGTTACACTAGTTTTAAAAGTATTGCATTAAGTAGGCCCTTCTAGACCAACTGTCCATCACCTCTCCTGTTTTTCAAGGAGAAATACAGGACAAGTGCTCAGAATGACGATGTCACCTCCTGACTCCTCACAACAGACTTTGCTCAGAGGAGGTCGATACAATTTCCCTGCTCCCTGGCCAGGTACTTGCTGAAGACCTGCAGCAAGGTTGTTGGCATGTATTCAGTTCATGAGCTGGTCATTTTTGAATGCTACATCTTCTAAATAAAATCAGCCTCATTTCTTCTGAGAATTTCAGGCTTTGCTAACGAGGAGAACACATGTCAGGATGCAGAGCATTATTATTATAAATCCATAGGATATGGATAAGTATATTTAGCTGTCTATCACTATTGATGCTTAAATACGTTGTTTGTGTGCACTCTGTTAAGCTTGTGAAGCAAAGACTAATAATTAGAAGCAAGTCAAATAATCTTTTTCAAGCTATAAAATGTGAGGCAAACAAACAATTTTTGAAAATAAAACAATTTTCACACAAAGCTTTCAGAGAAAACTTTTCAGTCTCCTGTTTTGAGGCAGTCTCTTACTTTCAAATGGTTTAAATGGCTGTTTTTCATACCTTGGAGATCAAAATATATACAGTTATTCTTTTTATGCCTGACTACCAAAGTGCAAATTTGCATTCATCACTCAGACAAATAGTTTGAGTCAAACTACTGACAGACAATCAAGTGACAAAAGGATTTTAAAAAATACTTCCTGATTAAGGTGTATATATAGTAGTACTTTACATGGATAGGTAAGTGAACCTTCATCTTGGAGGGTAGAGGTAGTAGTAAACATTCTGTATTTACATTTATTATGTAAATAGTTGGTGTCAAAAGTGTTTTGGACCACATTCTGATACCTCTTTTCATTTAGCTTAATTGCTCTGTGGATTTCGTCAGAGCTATTAGTGTGATAACGTCTTACTGTGTGCAGTCTGTCTGTTTTCAAGGAATAATTACTTTGTTTAGAATTAGTCTCTTCATTTTTCTGAGGTAGAATTTTCTAATGAGTTACAGGTCCTGAAGTATGGTGCTTGACTATAGAGTGTTTATAAAGTCAAATCAAGTTCTTAATTTGTAAGTGTATATTTTACAGAAATGTAAGATAATTGTGTGCTACAATTTTTTTTTTCCTAAGCAAGAAAAATGGCTCTTAATGTTACGTGGGATTTCAGGCACTCAGGTCTCACCTCTGCTGTGAATTCATCTTCTGTGTTGCTCACAAGTATGTTAGGAATAGTCTGTACTGTGTTTATTTGTAAAAGCTCTGTAAAATATTCAGTTTTTACAGCATTGAGAGATGAGAAAAAGACTTCGTGTTCAATTAGAATTCCTTACTAATGATTTTGCATACAGTTTTAATTTTCTAAATCATTAGACACATTGCTAAGATTTAAATTTCATGTGATAGCTATCAGTGATACCTTGATTCCTAATGTTACTAGAAATTTCTGACTTTGAGGATTTTTTTTTTCCTCTTCCAGGCAAGAAACACCTTTTTTTAAGCCAAATTATTTTTTCACTTTTTTTATGCATATGACTGTTACAAAATTATAGCAAAAGAGAATAAAATCACTTGCTTTAAAACTTACTAGTATGTATTTTCTTTTTAAAAGCTTTGATTGGGAAGCTAATTTGATATGTTTAATACAATGTGTTATGGTTAACTAATGTGAACCAGTGCAATGTAACTGGTCTGTAAACAGACTGAAACTATAGCCTGAGGAATATAAAACTAATTTCAAGAGAGTGTCAGTCCTGAAAACTAGTTCAAATAATAGCAGTATTAACTGCTTGACTAATTAAACTAATCTTCTTATACATTATTAGCAAATGCAGTGACAGTTGTTGGTTATTGATATACGGAGTCTTCTTTTTAAAAAGTCTTCTTTTAGAAGAAAACTTTTTGGCTCTATTTGGAATAGAGAGTACAGGAGGAGAAAGAAGTTATGCAGCCCCTTTCTAGAATCTGCCAACTTTTTAATTTCCACTTTTTTTATTATTCTTTTGTAATAAGGCCGTTGAAACACCAAGCTCTCCCTCCAATAATGTCAAGTTCTTAGTTCAATATTTCAAGCATGCTAAAAAAGGAAAACTTCAGGGATGTGAAATTTGAAGAACATACCTAACAGGGGATTCAATTGAACATCCTTATAACTGACACAAAGAAATACTAATTTTTCGGGGACTCTGTGCTACTGATGATTACTAAAGCTGTTGAGAACTGCCAGTGTGCAGCTTGCTGCTTCTGCAGAAGATTTGCAGGATTCCTGGAGTCTTAGGTCTGGGAAAAGACCTGGGGGGCTTGTGATACCTGAAACTTTGCCAGTTAGAAGAGCTCGGCTGTAAACAAATTGATAAACACAGAGGTTCACACTCTTCTTTTTAAATTATTATTATTATTCTTTTTTTAAAATTTCTTTTTTCTCCCCCCCCTTTTTCTACCCAGATATATGTTGACAGATGCATATGCACATACATAATACATGTACACTCATAAAAATGTTTTTTCATCTTCGTGATTTTTGTAAGACAGAAACAATAGCTAATAAAGACAGGGGGAGGGATTTAGTGGTACAATCGCTGCATAAAGAAATGGATCCAGAAATAGGAACAGATGGTTCATATCAGAGTCTATTAATTTTTTCTATTTAGATCAATGATTTATTTTTATCAGTTTCTGAGTGGATGATAAACAGCATTTTGGGAAGATTTGGGTGTTGCATATTGCTGAACTCATAAATAGAGACCAGGTCAGTCTGGAAGTTCATGTGCTGTAAAATCTTCTCTCCTACGGGGAGTACAGTGCCTTTGACTATAGGCAGAATTAGAAAGTACGAGTAAGGAAAAATGCAGAAGTGTTTTCCCTTGGTAGTTTTATGGAAGGAGGAAGCTAAGACTTGGTTAGAGATGTTTTTTTGTTTTGTTTTGGGTTTCTTGTGGGAATTCTGAAGGCAGCTTTTCAGTATGTTTTTTGTGTTTCATCACTTTTAAGACCTAGGCCTAACAAATAATTTAATTTTTTTTAACCCTCTAGCATTCTCTCCTATCCAGACTGAATACATTTTTCCTTGAGTTTCTGAGGAGTTTAATGTTGTTGGTGCTTTTTTACCAAAATGCTCTGTTATATATTCTTCAGATATACTGAATGGTGCAGCCCCCCACCCTCTAATTTCCTGAAGCTGTCATGATTTTTGCACTTTATAGGTATTATGCGCAGTGTTTTGAACCTAGCCTAAAATTAACCTAAAATTGCCAAGTGGCAACATTTCCATTACTTTCAAGCACTCAGGATGATTTTTCAATGCAAGGTTTCAGCATGTCGGGTTTGTGCCTTGACACTCTCTTTCGGCAGCTCTCTGTGTACACTGCTCCTGAAATCAAGATGGGGAAAGTATATGCCTTGTTGGACAGCAAAGCCCAGTTTTAGTCCATTTTTATCTTTTTTTGGTATTTCTTTCCACTTTTCAGGCTGTCTGCAGTGCTGTTATCAGCAGTTATATGCATTTTTCAAGCTTAAAGCTGTACTGGTT